AAAAAAAAAAAAAAAAATTAAATATCAACATTTAGTTTGCCACAAAATAAATTAGTAGTAATTATCAAATTAAAGTTGCAAATCTCAAAATATATAAGGCGTGAAAATGAAAGTACAAAAATTCATGGATAAGACTTTTAGATAATTACATTTCCAAACACAAGTTGGAGACGGGAAAATGAAATTGAAACAATTGAAATATTTTTGGTATACTAATATGAAAAATAACTCTAATAATTAAAACGTAAATGTGGTATACTAATCTGAAATATAAAAGTCCTATAAATTTGTTGCAGTCAAAGAAAATCATTATGTAGACATAATTATTAAAATATAATATTCATGATTATAGCACATTTTAAATATGCCAATTAATATTAAATAACAAACAGTATTTTGGATAAGACTTTTAGATAATTATATTTTCCAAACACAAGTTGGAGGCGGAAAAATGAAATTGAAAAAATTGAAGTAATTTTGGTATACTAATCTGAAAATTAACTCTAACAATAATTAAAAAGTAAATGTGGTATACTAATCTCAAAAATAAACGTCCTACAAATTTGTTTCTGGATGGAAAAATCATTGTGTAGACATAATTATTAAAATATAATATACTATCCATGATTATTGCACAATTTATATTCTCATTCTCATTTTTTCAATCAATCAAATTTATTTCTATTGATTGCCCCTGTTAAAAATTTCTTATATAAATAGCGAACTGATTTTTCAATAACACTCATTCCATTCCCTACTAATCTGTTCTGCAGTACAAGCCAAAATACTCTCATTACCTCCAATTTTTTTCCTTCAAAAATCATCATGAGTCAATTTGATAATTTGACTTATTTAGCAAAAAACAAGAACAAGACGGCAAAGCTGCGATTAGTCTGCACTTATCCCAAGTTTTACAAGTCGAGCAAAAAAAGCATTAGAGAGCTGGATTTTCTGTTTCACGATGTTAAGGTAGTAATTTTTTTTAGACATATTATTGATTTTATTTAAATGTGTCAATGATATTTTGCTAATAATTTAGTTTTTTCTTTTTTTAGAGGCAGCGGATTCATGGTTCGGCCCCGGTTACTTGGCCAAAAAATTCAAAGATTTCAACCTTTTTGAAGGACAAGTGTACGGGATTAATGGTTGGGAACTTACGGAGGACACTAATGCACTCAAAATAACGGAATCAAGCCGCAAGTTTGAGTTTGGTGAAAACACAAACATGTACGAGATAGTTGACGTCAACTACCCGAGGTTGATGTTCAACTTCAAAAATTACAAGGAGCTGTCCGACCCACAAACAATTGATTCCAACAAGATATTTGGTAAATTTTTGGTTTATTATGAATATACAATTATTCTTACCCTTGTGATACAATATAAAAGATTAATTTATATTATTTTATTTTTTAGATTTGATTGGACGTATTGCTATGGTCCATAGCATACGAACAACAAATTCAAATAGTGTGAAGAAAAAGTTCATAGATGTTATTTTAGAAGACGTTGAGTAAGTTATAGTTCATAAATACTTTCTTATAATTTAAGTAATTACGATTTTATTTGTTATTAAAAATTTATTATCTATAATTTTTTAGGGGATGCCATTTAACTTGCACATTGTGGGAAGGATATGTGCAAGTCATTGTTGATGCCTTGAACAAAACCCCTGTGACTAACTTGCGTGTACTCATTGTCCAATGTTTTCGAGCAAAGGCTTTCGAGTACGGTACATTCCTCACTTTGATTGATATTTTTTATTTGACATACAATTTATAGTGTTATCTCTAAAAAATTAATTTGTTGTTTTAGGGTCCATAAAAGTTGTGAACGCATTTGATGCTACTAAGCTAATGATGGGAGAAGTACCCGAAATTGAGGATTTCAAAGAAAGGTATTGATAATGAAATTATTTTTCATTATTTTATATTATACTATATCAATTCAATAATATTTTTCTTTTTCAAAATTCTTTTATTGAATATAAAGGTACAACTCACACACAAGGCCAAGTGATTCATCAATCCAACATGTGAGGCCCTTCATGTATAATGTTTGTGAAGATTTGGAGTCCGGCATATCTCCAATCAAGTGCTTAGCTGATTTTTTTAGCATATAATGAGGTAAAAATTATATTATACAATAGTTAATATTAATATAACTATTAAATCTAATAAAGGCTGCACTTATATGTTATATTATTTATTTGCTATTTTCAGGAAAAGAATTTTTGGATTTATGGCAACATCATTGACATATCCCAAAATTGGTTCTTCAAATCTTGCCCAACTTGTGTGCGGAAAATAGAGGCAAAAGGGGATCGATTTTGGTGCAATTATTGCAAAGACATCATTCCCTTTACTCTTCTTAGGTCATTATATTTCAGAATTTATAAGTATCATTTATATTTATATGATTTAATAATATTTAATTTTTTTATTGTTAAGGTACAAGCTCGACATTTCTGTTGTGGACGACACCGGCATTATACAACTTCTGTGTTGGGATAAGGTTTCGAGAGGACTAATAGGAAAACCGTGCGAAGATGTTGTCAATGACATGTTGAAGGCATGCACACTTATTATTCCTCCAAATGTTTAAATGATTAGTTACATATATCAAAAGTTTTATTGTTCTTATTGTTTGTTTTATTATGCAGCAAGATGATGGAGTTGATTTGCCAAATGAAATTAGCCTGTTGCTTATAAAGCAGACATGTTTAAAGTATCAAAGAAGAAGGATCAGATTGGACCTTATAAAGGTCCATTTACGGTTTCTTGAATCACCGCTGATCCTATTTTGCTAAGTAGGTTTGGACCCTTGGCAATTCCTTCACAGGTTATTACCTTTATAATTTTTATTTATATGTATAATAAATTTTATATTACTTTTCTGAATTCTATTTTAATTTATAATAATGAAGGCAACAAAGGCTGAAGAAGTGTGCAGCCCAATGAGGGTTGTAAAGGCTGAAGTAGTGGACAGCCCAATGAGGGCTGTAAAGGCTGAAGAAGTGGACAGCCCAATAAGGGTTGTGAAGGCTGAAGAAGTGGACAGCCCAATCAGGGTTGTGAAGGCTGAATTGTACAGCCCAATTAGGGTTGAGAAGGCTGAAGTGTACAGCCTAATCAGGGCTGTAAAGGACTGCATAGAGGAGCCAAAGAAGAGACAACAAACTAATGGGGAAGAGCCAATGGGGAAGAAGAAAATAAAGCTGGAAAAAATCTGAGTGCACCACATGATTTGGATTGAAGTCTTTTAGAAATAAATTAGTAGAATGCTTATGTTTTGAGTTTATTTTAAGATTGAAATGTTCCCAATAACATTTATTTGAATCTGAATGCAATCTCTTTATTATATGAAAAAATAAAGTTTATTATATTTATTGTATTTATATATTTTGTTGCTCAATATTAATAAACTACTTCAATCATTTACTATTTTATCAGGAAAACATAAGCACTTAGAACAGAACAGAACATAAGCACATTCAGAACATAATCACGAGAACAAGAATTCAAAGATTTACTTAATTGGAAAATAAATGGAAAGTCAAAGTTTTACTCAGAACATGAACAGAATTAAAAAAAAAAATAGAAAGTCAAAGCTTTTACTTGATTAGAAATTAGCAAACACTTACAATATTGCACTTTGAAACAGGAATTGAAATAGTAAATTACTAAAGTGTTAAATAAACCAATTGAAATAGGAATTGAAAGAGTTGAAACAAGAATTGAAACAGGAAGTGAAACAGGAATTGAAACAGAATGAAAACAGTAATTGAAATACTTACAATAGGAATTCAACAGGAATTGAAACACTTACAACATAATTTGAAACAGGAATTGCACTCAGAAACAGGAATTGAAATAGCAAACACTTACAAGAATTAAAAAAAATAAATGTAAAGTCAAAGCTTTTACCAAACAAGAATTGAAATAGGAAATTAATAAACAGGAATTCAAATAGCAAAACGCAGAATCCACAAATCCAATCATAACGCTTACAAGATTCATGCAGCAACACTTAATCACCAATTAAAGATCATATGAACAAAAAATTTATGTTGTGATATAGTTGACTCGAAAATATAATTGATGAATTTGTAAATTATTAATATATAACTATAATTCCACATACATTAGTTAAAAAAGACATGAAAAAAGTTAGAGAAAAAATATGTTGCAAAAGAGAGAATAGATGCTATCATCAAGATTTAAAAAAAAAAAAAGTTAAAAGGGTGAAATTGTAATTTCTAGATTTATCATATTTTCTTTAGTAATTTGTCATATTTCTCACATATAATACATTTTTAATGTCAATACAGTCACGATAAGTTAAAATAAATTAATAAAAAAACATAATTTTTCTTCAACATAATAAAATCATTGAAAATAATATATTTTTTAAAACTTTTATGAACAAATAATTTATGTTGTGGTGTAGTTGACTCGACAATGTAATTGATGAATTTGTAAATTATGAATATATAACTATAATTCCACATACATTAGTTAAGAAAGACCTGAAAAAAGTTAGAGAAGTAATATGTTACAAAAGAGAGAATAGAAGCTATCATCAAGATTAAAAAAAAAATTAAAAGGGTGAAAATGTAATTTTTAGATTTATCACATTCTCTTTAGTTGTGATACTATGTTTATGTTACAACTTTAATAAAGTTATGAGCTGAATTAAATTATAATTGATTGAATCACAAATTAATTCATTATTTATCTTTTTTCTTTTAATTTTATTTTCTGAATAGGGGGCATGAACAAAACTATGAAAAATGTTCCCACAACTTTTGTTAAATATACCATGCTATATGTTTTGAGAAGTGGCCATGTGTCGATCGTATAAAAAAAATGGATCTAGCCATGATTCCAACAAAATATTTATGTTATAATTTCATTGAAATAATTCAAATGAGAGAAATAACATTTAAATATTCGTTAGAACTGTCATTGAAATTCGGTTGTAATATATTTTTGTCGAAATTGTCGTTGGAATTTCACCATTTTCTTGTAGCAAAGGTACTTCTCTTAAATCAATAAAAAAATTTGTGTTATATATATAATATTGGGTGCAATTATTTATTATGAAAATTGTTGATAACGATAGAATATATAAACACATTCAATGTAATTATTATTAACTTTATGATAATTAGTAATTTCTTCAAAACAAACAAGATACATCTAGGTTAAATGTTCTTATCTATTTTATTAGTATTATAATAACTAAATGAGAGTTAAGAATGATATTCTATTATAAAAAAAATAAATAAAAAAAAAAAAAATTTACAAAAATAAACTTTACAATGCTCAAGCTTATAGTTTGGCATTCAATCCCAAAGTAAAAAAAAAAAGTGATAATATTCATTAATGTCATCCATCAATTGGAGCTGCTTAATGAGAAATATAAAACACACCTAATATGCACATTTATTTTAACTAGAAATTTTAACTACATAAAAAATATTTTTTTCATTCAAAATAGAGATATTAGTATTAATTTTTTAGTTAAATATTTCATTACTTTCTAACATTAAATTTTTGACTTTCGAAATACTTAATATTTTTTTTCTTATCCTTTTACATGTAATATATTACATCATTTCTTTTCAATGATGTTTGATGTGACAATTTATTGTAAATAAAATAAAATATTATAATTATTTCTAACGATATAAAATGATATATATATATATATATATAAATATAAATATATATATGTGTGTGTGTGTCAATGCCAATTTAAAATAATAAATGGACCTAAAAGTATCTCACAAAATAGATTATAAATCCATGTTAAATAAATTTTATTAAGTATAAAATAACATAAGATAAACGTGTGGTATATTTTACTTACATAGATTTGAAATATTCATACTACGAAAAAAAATAAAAAATGGATGTAAACTTACAACTATTGTCAATTTTAGTTATGTGAATAAAAAAGAGAAATAAATGGGTAGTATGCTAAACTATTATTCATTACTCCTTGAAAGGGAATACCATAATCGTTGTAACATATACTTTCAATGAATATAAAAATGAGTTAGTTAATGTTTTATCAAACATTGAAATAATGTGAACTTTTTAATCTTACAAACAATATAAAAGTACAATTTTATCATATATATATATATATTATAAATAAATAAATAAGTAATATTAAATAATATTTATGTTATGTGATTATAGTTGTAGCCTAATAAATAAGATACTTTGATAACAATATAATTATATAAAATGCGTAAAAAAATTAAACAATACATATAAATATGCCCTAATTCTTTTAAAAAATAAAATATAATTTGTGAATACAGTAAGAAACAAATAAAACAACTTTAAGGCAATGAGAAAAAAGAAGTCTGATTTTTTTTAGAGTAATATAAATATCAACATCTAGAAACAAAAGTCTTTTATAATTACTACATTTTTTATTACTAGCGTTTAAATTCTCATAATATTGATCCTATATTATCAATTTAAATTTTTAAATAATTAAAAAAATAAAAGCCTATGTAATACATAATATATACTTTAATAATGACTTTGTGATAATAAAGTTCACAGATTGCGAAGAGTATTATAATATAATAGGATTTAAAAAGGTCAACTTTTATTTGGAAATGAAACTCATTCTCACCTCGTGGGGCGATGCCTCCATGGGGGAGGTGTCAATTTGTCTATATGAAGAGAGAATAATGTAGTAGTTTAAAAAATAATAAAAAAAATATTAGCAATTTTAATGACACAGTTGATTATTTCACAGAGATATTCATTAATTGTTATTAACAATACCTTATAAAGATCATAATCATAGAATTTGACTACATGTTTGGACATAATATTTTGTATTGTTTGAATAAAGTAGAATTTTTGCCTAATGAATTAAAAAGAATTTGCCTATTGATGTATAGAACTCGAATGGGTATAAATGTTTTTTATGAGAACGTCAAAACTAAAATGAAAGAAAATCACTCTTGAATCATCAAACATAAATAAATAACAGAACTAATGGATTTATAATATACATTATATCTTTATTTAGTTATTTAGTGTCTTTTTTTTTTAAAAAAAAAATTATGGACTCATTTTTCATGTATTTTTATTGGGGCTGTGATATGTTATTTTATTCTTTTTATATTAGTACATCGTTATGTTATTTTTGAAAAAAAAAAATACATTTTTGTCCTACATTTTATTTTGTTCCGGCAATAAAATGTTTAATAAATAAATAAATTAATTTTACTAAACTTAATTGCAAAAAACATTCGCCACCACGTGCGATGCACGTGCACTTTACTAGTAATTAAAAAAAATCACAAGGAAACAAAAGTAAGCAGCAAACATCAATTTGGTGGTGTTAAAGCACCAAAATGTCAAATACTAAGATAATGAGGCAAAAGAGAACCTAAAATTATACATAATATTAAAAATATATATATTGTTTCACAAAATCAGGCCGTTTTCATTGATACTGTTTGTGTGTTTTGGCCAGTGGTGTTCATGTTTTGTAATGTAACCTAAATCAAGGGACGGCAAAAGCTCTCAATGGAAAGAGCGAAATTCATGTTATAAGACAAGCTGCTACCAATAAATACTACAGAAACTGCGTTCTGTTCCGCAAATTTTCTTGAAATACGAAATGTAACGTGGAAATCCATTGGAGGCACGAAGGAGGTGAAATTCAAAAGTTGAAAAAAAAAAAAAATTGATAGTTATAACTTCTACATTTACTTCAGTAACTTAAAAAGTTATTTCCGCACACCACTCGATCCTGAAACTAATACACAGTCCACAATATTTCCCCCAATTACAGTATCAATATTAAGATATTGGCTCTTCACAGGCATTTAATCAAACATGTCTCGAGTACAATCCACACACCTTCACAGGCATTTAATCAAACATGTCTCGAGCACAATCCACAAACTTCTTGAAACACTAACGAAACAAACCAAATCTGTCAAGTCAATAACATGATGGGCGTACCTATTTACCTGGAATTGTAGTTAAACTAGAACAAGCTTACGATTCACGATAGAGGAAATTGAAAGCGAACCACAATACTTTGCCTTTCTGGTATGTGGCATATAAATAGACTTTAAGTCCTGAATGACATAGAAAAACCCAAGTAAAAAAAAACTCAAAAGCTATTCAATGGAAAAAAAAAAAATACTAAGTTTAACATACATGTCAACCGATAAAAATGCTCTAA